AAAAAAAAAAAAAAAAGACACCCCACATTCAAAGGTAATGGAGAAGCCCCAACAAGACAGTAGGAGGGGCGAAATCACATTTAGAATCAAACCTCATACCAGTCAGAGACACTTGGAAGTCTCAAACAAAACCCTGCTCCCACCAGAACCCAGAGGCCCCACAGAGACTGAGCCAAACATGCCTTTGAGTGGGCCAGCAGTGGCCTGCTGCAGGGACTGGGGCTCTGGCTGCAGCAGACCTGGGTCATGCAGCATTACCCACCATAGAGCCACCAAGCAGATGACCCACAAACTGCAGAACAATTATACCAAAGAAATTATTGCACTGTTAAGAAAGTTCTAGGAACCACAACAGATTTCCCAAACTGTGGGTCCAGCAAAGGGATTAAGAACTCCCAGGGAATTTGACTTTGGAGGCCAGTGGGATTAGATTACAGAACTTCCACAGGGTTGGGGAAACAGACTTTGGAGGGCACAAACAAAACCTTGTGCACAGCAGGAGCCTGGAGAAAGGAGTAGTGTCCCCACAAGAGACTAAGCCAAACTTGCCTGTGAGTGTCCAGGAGTTTCTGATGTAGGCATGGGTCGACAGTTTGACCTCAGGCCAAACAAAAGGGAGGGAACACAGCCCCACACATCAAAAGAAAATTGGATTAAATACTTACTGCCCTGCCCATCAGAACCAGACCCAGTTTCCCCCACAGTCATTCTCTCCCAACAGGAAACTTCCAAAAGCCTCTTATCCTTATCATTCAGAAGGCAGACAGAATGAAAATCACAATCACAGAAAATGAACCAAACTAATCACATGGACCAAAGCCCTGTCTAACACAATGAAACTATAAGCCATGTCTTGTAGGGCCAAGCAAGACCAATGGGTCATGGTGGAGAGTCAGACCATGGTGGAGAGTCATTCTGACTCTCCAACATGGTGGAGAATATGCTCCACTGGAGAAGAGAATGACAAACCACTTCAGTATTCTTGCATTGACAACCCCATGAACAGTATGAAAAGGCAAAAATATAGAACACTGAAAGATGAACTCCCTAGGTCTGTAAGTTCTCAATATGCTACTTGAGATCAGTGGAGAAATAGCTCCAGAAATAATGAAGAGACAGAGCCAAAGTGAAAACAATGCCCAGTTATGGATGTGACTGTGGATAGAAGTAAAGTCCAATGTTATAAGGAACAATATTGCATAAGAACCTGGAATATTAGGATGAAGAATCAAAATAATTTTAAAGTGGTGAAAGAGGAGATGGTAAGAGTAAGCATTTTAGAAATTAGTGAAATAAAATGGATGGGAAAGGTTAAATTTAATTGAGATGACCATTATATCTACTATTGTGGGCAAGAATCCCTTAGAAGAAATACAGTAGCCCTCGTAGTCAACAAAAGAGTCAGAAATGCAGTACTTGTGCACAATCTCAAAAATGACAGAATGATCTCTGTTTGTTTCCAAGGCAAACCATTCAATAACATAGTAATCCAAGTCTATTCCCCAACCATTAATGCCAAAGAAGATGAAGTTGAACAGTTCTATGACGCCCTACGAGAACTTATAGAATTAACACAAAACAATTATGTCTTTTTCATCAAAGGGGAAAGGAATGCAAAAGTAAGAAGTCAAGAAATACCTGGTTCATTTCAGTCCAGTTCAGTCACTCAGTCGTGTCCGACTCTTTGCGACCCCATGAGTTGCAGCATGCCAGGCTTCCCTGTTCATCACCAATTCCCGGAGTTTACTCAAATTCATGTCCATCAAGTTGGTGATGCCATCCAGCCATCTCATCCCCTGTCATCCCCTTCTCGTCCTGCCCCCAATCCCTCCCAGCATCAGGGTCTTTTTCTATGAGTCAACTCTTCACATGAAGTGGCCAAAGTACTAGAGTTTCAGCTTCAGCATCAGTCCTTCCAATGAACACCCAGGACTAATCTCCTTTAGGATGGACTGGATGGATTTCCTTGCAGTCCAAGGGACTCTCAAGAGTCTTCTCCAACACCACAGTTCAAAAGCATCAATTTTTCAGCGCTCAGATTTCTTCACAGTCCAACTCTCACATCCATACATGACTAGTGGGAAAACAATAGCTTTGACCAGGTTGACCTTTGTTGGAAAAGTAATGTTTCTGCACTTTAATATACTATCTAGGTTGGTCATAACTTTCCTTCCAAGGAGTAAGAGTCTTTTAATTTCATGGCTACAATCACCATCTGCAGTCATTTTGGAGCTCCCCCCCAAAAAAAAGTCTGACACTGCTTCCACTGTTTTCCCAGCTATTTCCCATGAAGTGATGGGACCAGATGCCATGGTCTTAGTTTTTCAAATGTTGAGTTTTATGCCAACTTTTTCACTCTCCTCTTTCACTTTCATCAAGAGCCTCTTTATTTCCTCTTCACTTTCTGCCATAAGGGTGGTGCCATCTGCATATCTGAGGTTATTGATATTTCTCCCGGCAATCTTGATTCCAGCTTGTGCTTTTTCCAGCCCAGCGTTTCTCATGATATACTCTGCATATAAGTTAAATAAGCAGGGTGACAATATACAGCCTCGATGTACTCCTTTTCCTATTTGGAACCAGTCTGTTTTTCATGTCCAGTTCTAACTGCTGCTTCCTGACCTGCATATAGGTTTCTCAATTGGTGGGTCAGGTGGTCTGATATTCCCATCTCTTTCAGAATGTTTCTCAGTTTATTGTGATCCACACAGTCAAAGGCTTTGGCATAATGAATAAAGCAGAAATAGGTGTTTTTCTGGAAGTCTCTTGTTTGTTTTTATGATCTAACGGATGTTATCAATTTGATCTCTGGTTCCTCCGCCTTTTCTAAAACCAGCTTGAACGTCTGGAAGTTCACAGTTCATGTATTGCTGAAGCCTGAATTTTGAGCATTACTTTACTAGCGTCTGAGATGAGTGCAATTGTGCGGTAGTTTGAGCATTCTTTGGGATTGCCTTTCTTAGGGATTGGAATGAAATCTGACCTTTTCCAGTCCTGTGGCCAGTGCTGAGTTTTCCAAATTTGCTGGCATATTGAGTGCAGCACTTTCACAGTATCATCCTTCAGGATTTGAAATAGCTCAACGGGATTCCATCTCTTCCACTAGCTTTGTTCATAGTGATGCTTTCTAAGGCCCATTTGACTTCACATTACAGGAAGTCTGGCTCTAGGTGAGGGATAACACCTTTGTGATGATCTGGGTCATGAAGATCTTTTTTGTATAGTTCTTCTGTGTATTCTTGCCACCTCTTCTTAATATGTTCTGCTTCTGTTAGGTCCATACCATTTCTGTCCTTTATCGAACCCATCTTTGCCTGAAATGTACCCTTGATATCTTTAATTTTCTTGAAGAGATCTCCAGTCTTTCCCATTCTGTTGTTTCCCTCTATTTCTTTTCATTGATCGCTGAGGACGGCTTTCTTATGTTTCCTTGCTATTCTTTGGAACTCTGCTTTCAAATGAGAATATATTTCCCTTTCTCTTTTTCTTTTTGCTTCTCTTCTTTTCACAGCTATTTGTAAGGCCTCCTCAGACAACCATTTTGCCATATTGCCTTTCTTTTCCATGGGGATGATCTTGATCCCTATCTCCTGTACAGTGTCATGAACCTCCGTCCATAGTTCATCAGGCACTCTGTCTATCAGATCTAGTCACTTAAATCTATTTCTCACTTCCACTATATAGTCATAAGGGATTTGATTTAGGTCGTACCTGAATGGTCTAATGGTTTTCCCTACTTTCTTCAATTTAAGTCTGCATTTGGCAATAAGGAATTCATAATCTGAGCCACAGTCAGCTCCCAGTCTTGTTTTTGCTGACTGTATAGAGCTTCTCCATGTTTGGCAGCAAAGAATATACTCAATCTGATTTCAATGTTGACCATCTGGTGATGTCCATGTGTAGAGTCTTCTCTTGTGTTGCTGGAAGAGGGTGTTTGCTGTAACCAGTGCGTTCTCTTGGAATACCTCTATTACCCTTTGCCCTGCTTCATTCCGTACTCCAAAGCCAAATTTTCCTGTTATACCAGGTGATTCTTGACTTCCTACTTTTGCATTCCAGTCCCCTATAATGAAAAGGACATCTTTTTTGGGTGTTAATCCTGAAAGGTCTTGTAGATCTTCATAGAACCATTCAACTTCAGCTTCTTCAGCATTGCTAGTTGGGGCATAGGCTTGGATTACCATGATACTGAATGGCTTGCCTTGGAAACAGAGATCTTCCTGTCATTTTTGAGATTGCATCCAAGTACTGCATTTTGGACTCTTTTGTTGACCGTTATGGCTACTCCATTTCTTGTAAGGTATCCCTGCCCACAGCAGTAGATTTAATGGTCATCTGACTTAAATTCACTCATTCCAGTCCATTTTACTTCCCTGATTCCTAGAATGTCAACATTCACTCTTGCCATCTCCTGTTTTACCACTTCCTGTTTGCCTTGATTCATGGGCCTAACATTCCAGGTTCCTATGCAATATTGCTCTTGAAAGCATTGGACCTTGCTTCTATCACCAGTCACATCCACAACTGGGTATTGTTTTTTCTTTGGCTCCATCCCTTCATTCTTTCTGGAGTTATTTCTCCACTGATTTCCAATAGCATATTGGGCACCTACCGACCTGGGGAGTTCCTCTTTCAGTATCCTATCATTTTGCCTTTTCATATTCTTCATGGGGTTCTCAAGCCATGAATACTGAAGTGGTTTGCCATTCCCTTCTCCAGTGGACCACATTCTATCAGACCTCTCCAGTATGACCCGTCCATCTTGGGTGGCCCCACACGGCATGGCTTAGTTTCATTGAGTTAGACAAAACTGTGGTCCATGCGATCAGATTGCCTAATTTTCTGTGATTATGGTTTTAGTGTGTCTGCCCTCTGATGCCCTCCTGCAATGCCTACCATCTTGCTTGGTTTTCTCTTGCCTTTGACTTGGTGTATATCTTTACGGCTGCTCCAGCAAAGCACAGCCACTGCTCCTTACTTTGGACGAGGGGTATCTCCTCATGGCTGCCCCTCTTGACTTTGAACATGGAGTAGCTCCTCTCAGTCTTCCTTCGCCCGTGCAGCCGCTGCTCCTTGGAGGTGGGGTTGCTCCTCAAGAAATAACTGTAGTAAGGGGAAAATTTGACCTTAGAGTAAAGTATGAAACAGGGCAAAGGCTAATAGATATTTGCCAAGTGAATGCACTGGTCATAACAAACACCCTTTTCCAGCAACACAAGTGAAGACTCTACACATGGACCTCACCAGATGGTCAATACTGCAATCAGATTGATTATATCTTCTGCAGCCAAAGATGAAGAAGCTCTATACAGTCAGCAAAAACAAGACCAGGAGCTGACTGTGGCTCAGATCATGATCCCCTTATTGCAAAATTCAGACTTAAATTGAAGAAAGTAGGGAAAACCATTAGACAATTCAGGTATGACCTAAATCAAGTTCCTTATGATTATACAGTGGAGGAGAGAAATAGATTCAAAGGATTAGATTTAATACAGAGTGCTTGAAGAACTATGAACAGAGTTTCATGGTATAGGAGGCAGTGATCACCTCCTATACACCCCAAGAAGAAAAAATGCAAAAAGGCAAAATGGTTGTTGGAGGAGGGCTTAAAATAGCTGAGAAACAAAGAGAAGAGAAAGGAAAAGGAGAAAAAGGAAAGATATGTGCACCTGAATGTAGAGTTCCAAAGAATAGCAAGGAGAGATAAGAAAGGCTTCCTCAGCAATCAATGCAAAGATGTAGAGGAAAACAGGAGAATGGGAAAGACTAGAGATCTCTTCAAGAAAATTAGAGATACCAAGGGAACATTTCATGCAAAGTTGGGCACAATAAAGGACAGAAAAGTTATGGACCTAAGAGAAGCAGAAGATATTAAGAAGAGGTGGCAAGAACACACAGAAGAATCATGCAAAAAACAACTTAGTGACCCAGATAACCACAATAGTGTGATCACTCATCTAGCACCAGACATCCTGGTGTGCAAAGTCAACTGGGCTTTAGGAAGCATCACTACAAACAAAGCTAGTGGAGGAGATGGAATTCCACTTGAGCTATTTCAAATCCTAAGATATGATGCTGTGAATGTGTTACACTCACTATGCCAACAAATTTGGAAAACGAAACAGTGGCCACAGGACTGAAAAAGGTCAGTTTCCATTCAAATCTCAAAGAAAGGCAATGCAAAAGATAGTTCAAACTATGGCACAATTGCACTCATCTCACACTTAAGCAAAGTAATGCTTAAAATTCTCCAAGCTAGGCTTCAACAGTACATGAACTGAGAACTTCTACACGTTCAAGCTGGATTTAGAAAAGGGAGAGGAACCAGAGATCATATTGCCAGCATCCACTGGATCATCAAAAAAGCAGAAGAGTTCCAAAAAAACATCTACTTCTGATTTATTCACTGTATCAAAGCCTTTAACTATGTGGATCACAACAAACTGTGGAAAATTCTGAAAGAGATGGGAATACCAGACCACCTGATCTGCCTCCTGAAAAATCTGTATGCAGGTCAAGAAGCAACAGTTAAAATTGGACATGGAACAATGGACTGTTCCAAGTTGAAAAAGGAGTATATCAAGGCTATATATTGTCACTCTGCTTATTCAACATCTAAGCAGAGTGCATCATGCAAAATGCTGGGCTGGATGAAGCACAAGCTGGAATCAAGATTGACAAGAAAAATATCAATAACTTCAAATAGGCAAATGACACCACCCTTATGCCAGAAAGTGAAAAGGAACTGAAGAGCCTCTTGACAAAATTGAAAGAGGAGAGTGAAGAGTCTTGTTTAAAACTCAATATTCAGAGAACTAGTATCATGGCATCTGGTGCCAACGCTTTGTGGCAAATAGATGGAGAAACAATGGAAACAGTGACAGACTTTATTTTCTTGGGTTCCAAAATCATTGTGGATGGTGACTGCAGCTGTGAAATTAAAAGGTACTCACTCTTTGGAAGAAAAGTTATGACCAACCTAGACAGCATATTATAAAGCAGAGACGTTACTTTGCCAACAATGGTCCATCTAGTCAAAGCTATGATTTTTCCAATAGTCATGTATAGATATGAGGGTTGGACCATAAAGACAGCTGAGTGCCAAAGAATTGATGCTTTTTGAACTGTGGTGCTGGAAAAGACTCTTGAGAGTCTCTTGGACTGCAAGGAGATCAAACTAGTCAACTCTAAAGGAAATCGGTCTTCAATATGCATTGGAAGGACTGATGCTGAAGTTGAAGCTCCAATACTTTGGCCCTCTGATGCAAAGAACTGACACGTTGGATAAGTCGCTGATGCTGGGAAAGATAGAAGGCAGGAGGAGAAGGGGATGACTGAGAATGACATGGTTGGATGGCATCACCAACTGGATGGACATGAGTTTGAGTAGCTTCAGGATTTAGTGATGGACAGGGAAGCCTGCCATTCTGCAGTCCATGAGGTCACAAATAATCGGATGTAACTGAGCGACTTAACTGAACTGATATTTGATAAAGAGTTCTCACCAGGATATCAATTCTTATACTACCATACACATATACCGAACTTTAACAATTCAGTAAATATATGGTTGATGGTGGGATTCGGGACATGACTGAAGTGAATGAGCACACATGCATGCATCTTCATTAAATAAGTTAGTACTTTTTTATATTAGGAACAAGAAGTATTGCCGAGTGGAAAGAAATTTTTATGCTTTTTTTTTTTATCTGGAACCTCAGTCAACAGTGCAAGACTTCCTGGAATAGGAAACGAGAGTAGACATTTATTTGTATAAATGATTCAGGTAACTATTCTCTTATTTTGCATAGGATTCTTTGGGGACTTTTGTCAGGTTTGTTGGCTAAGAGGCTAGTGAATCTCTTTTTGCCTTATGGTGTGTACTTTGCTACAGGAAGAGGATGTGAATAAGAGATAAAAGTTCAAGACCAAATAAAGATTTGAAGAAATTCTTTAAGTTATGCCTCAATTTGTCAGTTTTCCTTTTCTTTGAAAAATATTTTTAGGGAAGGGCTAATGCTGATAATATATATCTTGTTTTTGTACTGCACTTGAGGAGGTTCACTGATTATGAAATGGAGGTTCACTTCCTTTTATTTTCATAATTAGAAGTAATCTTTCAGATGTGTAAAGGTGTATAGCCTTGAGTTCAGTTCTGTGCTTCCTGTCTTCCAGAAAGCCTTTGTGCTGTGCTTAGTCGCTCAGTCAACCCCATAGACTATAGCCCCCCAGGATCCTCTGTCCATGGTGTTTCCCCAGGCAAGAATATTGGAGTGGGTTGTCATGCCTTCCTCCAGGGGATCTTCTAAGCCAGGGATGGAACCCAGATCTTCTGCGTTGTAGATGGATCCTTTACCTTCTGAGCCACCAGGGAAGCCCATGAATACTGGAGTGGGTAGCCTATCCCTTCTCCAGGGGATCTTCTAAGCCAGGGATGGAACCCAGATCTTCTGCGTTGTAGATGGATCCTTTACCTTCTGAGCCACCAGGGAAGCCCATGAATACTGGAGTGGGTAGCCTATCCCTTCTTCAGTCTATCTTTCTGACCCAGGTATCGAACTAGTGTCTCTTGCATTGCAAATGGATTCTTTACCAGCTGAGCTACCGGGGAAGCCCCCAGAAAGCCTTTGGTGTTTTGTTTTGTTTTGTTTTGTTTGTATTTATGATTTGAGCAGATGACTGTAATTGTCTATATTAACCTTCTATTAAATACTGTTATGGTAAAAGTCAACATGGTTAATTCACACTATTAAAAAGTTGTCCAGAATATTTTTCTTTAAAATAATGTAACATCTTTATAAATTTTTTTTAGCATAGTACCCATATTTTAAAGATAGAATAAAATAATGTTTGGGGGAAAAGTAAAATTCATGAGATGAATAAAATATTAGTAATATATAATCACTGATACTTCATTTACACCCTGAAAATCAAACTAAGGAAGGTATGGATTGGGAAGAAGAACAAGAAAAATGTCAGTTAGATAAACCACAAACCAGATGTATCCCCAGCATCTCGAAACAATGGTTGCAGTTTATATTTAATAAAAAATATTAACCTCAAAATATAACAAAGCAACTTGAAATAGCAGAAGAAAACTGTTAGACTAAACTAGCCACCATTTATTTTTTAGTGTATGCAATTTGGAAGGTTTAACCAGAAACTTCAAATATCAACTAATTTTTGTTCTGCCTTCATGAAAAGTTAAAAGGGAAAATTTATAGCAAATCCATCAAAATATTAATAAAAACATAAGCTAGCCAGATTTACCCATACTTACTTATGTCTATGATTTCTCCAGTACAGCAGCTACCTATCTAATAATTAAGGAGTCTACTGTTGACACCAGTTCCCTAAGGCTGTGTATAGGAGCCAGTGTATCTACTGCCATTTTTTCTGGGGTTTTCTGACATATTTTGTCAAATTTTGTTCAACTGGATAGAAGTTGGAAACTTGGTTATGATTGGGTGTTGATGTAAACTGTAAGTAACAAAAGACTTGTTACCTTGCAGACATGAAGAAAAAATTCTGGGATCCTAGCTGGCTAAGGAAAGCTGAGTGAGAAGAAAATGGCTTGAGGGGGCAATGCTATCATTGCCTTCCTCCTTAGTCAAGAATAAGAATCCTGACTACAGCTTTCTAGAGTAGGGCTTTTTGGTTTCATATTGTTTTTTCTTTTAGTTGATTAGAGAATCCAATTATACTTAGGAGCTTAAAAAAAAAAAAGAAGTACACATGGCTATTTAACCATCACTGTCTGAATGAGTGTTTTTCATTCAGACTGTTGATTACAACCCATTAGTGGGTCAAGAAATCGATTTCAAAGTTCACGGCCATCATTATTTTTTTAAAAGTGATAAAATTACCAGACAAGGCACCATAGCACATTACACGTGATAAGGTAAATATTATTTCATAACATTTTGGTTTCAGTTGTATAAAGAAAAAGACATATGTGTTTACTGGGTCATGATGTAAAATGTATTTTTTTTTTTCCCATGGATCATATTTGAACAGTTTGGAAGACTTACTAATACATATATTGACTCTTGGTTTACTTTTGTATGTCATTTAATATT